AGAAGGAAACCCCAGGGTTGAAATATGAACCGGTTTAATAGAATAAAACTAGATAACTAGCATTAATAACACTAAAGAACCACTATTGATCCCGGTACCGATATAAAACACACAAGGTCTATCCCCAGCCCATCCCAGGTGTTGTTTGGTTTAGCTGAGGGTTCAGGTGCCACACACTACATATAGCATAAGGTCACCGCAAACACATCGTGCTACGAAGCCTGAAAGCAAAAAACATCCCCTCTTAAATTTTTTTTTTAACATTTTAGCTGCTTTTTAGTCATCCCTTCCAGAGTCGAAGCAGACGTTTCCGGATCCCCACTGGGATAGAAGTTCAATTGGAAGGCCACCACCCTGCCACCTCCAGACCCCGAGCGCTGGAGCTGTGACCCTGCCACCTCTGCCACCGGTACCCGAGCCACGCCATCGACCAGGGCATCCTTCTTGGGTAATTTCTGAGCAGTTTCAGCCTGTTTCTGCCTGGATTATGCTCATATGAACGTGCTCTACGGCTCTTTCATACCAGCCTGCAGGGGTGGTGGGCTTGCCTGGACAACCTCGTTGTAGCCCAGGACCACCCCAGGTCCCTGCCAGCCTGCAGGCATCTTACTGACCCGCTGAGGAAGAGACTTTAGGCTTCTTCTGGTTGGGATTTCTGCAGCCGGGCTTTGGAAGCGGCTCTTCCAACGGGGAGATTGAAAATCCACCCCTTCCCTGCCCTTCCTGCTCCATCTGATCAACCCACCCCAACTGACTTCTGCAGTCCTGGCTTTAAATCCCCGTTTCCCCTTGGCTCCGCCTGGGTTGGCTGGAAGGGAATCAGTGAGGAGATTGCTTTATTAATACATTTGCACTTTAGAGAACCGTTTAATCCAGAGGCCGCACGGTACGGCCTGACTCTTTCCTGCCTCTTAATCTGATTATAAAGGTAAGGACTGAGTAATGCCCTACTGGCCAGCTGGAGGGTCTCGAGTAGCCAGATGAGAGGAAGGCTCTGCTCCTCTTCCGGCGTGTAACCATCTTCACTTGGCTATTTGGGGCTCCACACCAAGGGCAGTGGTGGCCCTGGAGGTGACGGACACCCACAGACGCAGCCCGGATCCTGTCTCCTCACTGACTGCTCCTTTTTTGCCTGCCCTATTGCAACATGTAAAGGATTTTCTCTCTCACAACCCCAGAGAGTTGGGGGGGTTCAGCCTGGAGAAGAGAAGGCTCTGGGGAGCCCTTAGAGCCCCTTCCAGTCCCTAAAGAAGGGGGGCTCCAGGAAAGCTGGGGAGGGACTCTGGATCAGGGAGGGGAGCCCTAGGAGGAGGGGGAAGGGTTGGACCCTGAAAGAGGGGAGATGGAGCTGAGATGTGGGGAAGAACTTGTTTGGTGGGAGGGTGGTGAGAGCCTGGCCCAGGTTGGCCAGAGAAGCTGTGGCTGCCCCATCCCTGGAGGGGTTCAAGGCCAGGTTGGAGGGGGCTTGGAGCCACCTGGTGTGGTGGGAGGTGTCCCTGCCCAGGGCAGGGGGGGGCACTGGGTGGGCTTTAAGCTCCCTTCCAGCCCAAACCAGTCTGTAATCCTATGATTTGTGACTTTGCACTTGCACAGCTTTTCTGCAGTTTCAGCCCGACCTTCTGGGCTGTGTGAGGTGATAACGTGCCATGAGCTGGCAGGACGTGCTGAAGGACACCAAACTAAGGACCGAGGTGCTGCCCCCAGACCGTGAACCTTCTGTGAGCCAGGTACGGCTGCAGGAAAACCCGCTCCCCTCAACAAGGAGCAGAGATAAAAGTGAAATCCCACACGCAGACTGTGTCGTTCTCAACCAGGGGACAGGTCCTTATCAGCGGAGAGGGTCAGCAAGACCTGGGGCATCTGCTTTTCATGATTTATTTTGTCTTTTTAGCTCACATTTCCTACATTGATCTCACTTTGCCTGACTGAAGCTGAAGGATTTAGTCTGGACTCTTCCCCCAGTCTTTCACATCTATTAGACTAAATACTGGCGGAATAATTAAGGGCAGGAGAAAAATGAGAACAGTGAGAGAGGATTTGATTATTTTACCTCAATAACAGAAGCACAGAATCATCTCGTTCGCATTTATTGAGTAGGGGAGAGGGTTTGTTTTTGCTCTGACCGCTGTCAGGGTGCCATTTGAAAGGGATACAGGGGCAGACGCATCTCCCATGAAGCCAGGGAGGGGGAAGATGTAAAAGCCAAGGAATCCCTGGGGAAAATCTGTCCTGGCTCCGTGCCCCCTCCTTCCCTGCTGCTGAATCAGGCCCAGAGCAGCCACAGCCCTGGCTCCCCTTCCCCAGCTCCCTTCTCCTTGGGGCTTAAGTGATGAGTAGGGGAAAATCCCCCCCCACTAAAAGATTTGCATTGGGAACCCTTGGCTGAGGAATGACTTTTTAAAATAGAAGAGCTTTGCTTGAAAAGGGATGAACCACGTAGCATAATACTCAACAAATCGCCTGTTTAATGGCCTCCCTTTATAGCAGCTGTGCATTAATAACAAAAGCGGGGCAGCAGAAGCCGTGTGCTTCTTTGTAAGATTAAAATAAATACTATTTCCTCCTAATACCAGGAACTTTCTGCAGAGGTTGACTGGGGGGGGAAGGAGCAAGTGGAAGACTACGGCCGGAGGGACTTTGTTTCTTTCCCCTTTGCCTGCTGCTGGATGAAGGAATATCCTTCCCACCTACAAAGGTTGAAGACGCTCTGGATCTGCCCTCCCAGACCCTTGGCTGGTTTATAATGGTTTGTTGTCAGCATCACACAGAATCACAGAATCACAGAATCTTCTAGGTTGGAAGGGACCTTAAAGATCATCTTGTCCAACCGTCAACCTCACTGACAAAAATAGACACCCACACAACAAACAAGGAGCATCATCACTAAACCATACCTCCCAGCACTACATCAACCCGGCTTTTGAACACCTCCAGGGATGGGGCCTCAACCCCCTCCCTGGGCAGCCCATTCCAATGGCTGAGAACCCTTTCAGGGAAAAAATTTTTCCTAATATCCAGCCTGAACCTCCCCTGGCGCAACTTGAGGCCATTTCCTCTTGTCCTGTCGCCTGTGACTTGAGAAAAGAGACTGACCCCCATCTCTCTACACCCTCCTTTCAGGCCTGACACCACTGTCAGACAGGAGTAATTCCTCTAGGACTAAACACTCGAGGGGAAACTAGGCTGAGGGAGAACTTAACTTGCTTTTTACTTCAATTTTTACGCAAATTGGAAGCCGAGTGGTTCATGCTGGACAAAAGGCATCCTCGGAGGATGTCAGACCGGATAAAAGCCCTGAGCAACCTGGTTTGACCTCACAGCTGACCGTGCTGGGGCTAGACACCTCCTGAGCTCCTTTCCAGCTGGGGTTACCGTGCGATCCCAGCAACATTTGGCCTCTTCTCCGTGGGCGTATGAAGGGCCACCACATTTTGTGCAGCCTCCTCCATCCCCCAGCTCTCGTTCCCGGCAGCCCCGGTAACGGCTCTCCCTGCTCCATACCCCTGGCACTAAAGCACTGCTGAGTTTTCCTCCCCAAATCGGGACTTCAGGCATTAAAAAAAAAAAAGAGAGAGAAAGAAATTTCACATTTTAAAACCGTCTGCCACAGACTATTTATCAGACACGGGGAATGATTTGTTTCTGTTTTCCTGGGCATAGGTTTTTAGCTGAGACAAGATACGTTGCCTTGCTGAGAGCTGAGTCACCGAGTAATCAACAGATTAATGTATTCAGCTCGAAAGCCATCAGCATTAGTTCTCGGCAAGCTCACAAGAACTCCATTATGGGATCATCTCTCCGTTTGGGATGGAAATGTCTCCAGGATTTAGAGTCCCTGTGGGAAAAAATCCCCAGATGCAAAGAAATCAAAACGCTCCTTTGTGATTGGAAGAAATAAGGTACCTCTTCACACAGTAACACACCAGCAGGGTTTTGGCATCCTTTCCAGTGAATGCTTTTATTATCAACCCTCAGATAAGGAGTTTGGGGTATGTCGTACATCTGTCATTTGAGAGCTACCTAAAAATAGTCACGACAAACTCAGTGGCATGTAGGACTTCGCCTTGACCGGGTCTTCAATCTAAAATCATTTCATTTCCAGTGAAACCAAGAAATTTTTGCCATCCTCTGGGACGGCAGCCTGCGAAAAGGGTGGTCTTGGCTTCTCTGGGGCTCCAAGTTTCTCTGTGTGGGCTTGGGGCGAGCCAGAAACGCCAAGTAGGAAAGGCAGAGGGCTGTCAGGGGCACCTCACAGAGGAGCCGCTGTTTAAAAATAGGGAGCTGGTCGAAGCAATAACAGAACAGCAACTGTAAAAGGACAGGCTGGCTTAGGTGTGTGGCACGAGAAGGCTGCCAGGCATCACGTCGTTATTCTGATAACCCACACGGTAACGCTGCCGCGCGGAGGCACCTCGCTGGGGTGATGCCTCCTCCCCTCCGCAAGCGGGACCCCTGTGGTTCACATCCCCCACGGAATGGGGGATGCATGAGTAAAAAGCCTGTCAAAGCCCCCCCAAAAGTCGACTTAAGCCTAAAAAGCTTTCCGACATCAGCAGCAGGCGGGACGGGGCGGGAAGGGCAGCGAGACGTCGTGACATTTCTCCTGGCAGCCCGCCTCCCCGGCGCAGGCACAGAGAGGACACACGCGTTCTCCCTGCTTGCCCACGCCTGGCAGGCTGGCCCTCAATAACCAAATTCTTTCTCTCTTGCCCCCAGGGCACGAGAGACTGCGGCTGTTGTGACACAGAGGTCCCCGGGGCCACCTTTCCCCGCGTAGGTGGTACCAACAGCACATCGCGTACCATCACGCCTGTGCCTCTGGCTGCTGTTGCACAAACCATGTACACAACGGTGGTGTAAATCTTCCTTCCTCCCTCCTTTTAACCATCCCCCCCCACCCCAACAAGTGTGTTCAGGTTGTGCACACGCCTCCTGTCCATGCCCTGGAGTCTCCAGGCTCTCCAGCTCCCTGTCCCCGAGCGGTGGTGGTTCTCACTCACCCGCCGTTCCTTGTCGCCGTACTCGATGCCCAGGGTGTCCATGGCACGGACGATGGCTGCCAGCGACTGGATGGTGTTGCTGTAGACCACTGGCTTGTACTGCTTCACGTCTTCTCCAGAGAAGCCATCCTCGTGGATGATCCTGAAGAAAAAAAACACAAAGGACAAAAACCTCTTGAGAATGGCGTTTCAGTCGGGGAGAGTGGTCAAAAGACAGCCGGGCTCTTTTGAAGAGCACATCTGCGAGCTCAGTTCGCTGAATTTAGTCAGCATTTCTTTTTTACACCTTTCTAGTTGTTCACCAGGAGTGTGCCAGGGATCAGCATCCCTTTTCCTCTCTCTCTCAAGGAGGTTTGGTGCGGGGTGGGCACATTCGGTACCACCCTCCCAACCCAACCATGAGCAACACCGCCAGGAGCCCCTCATGTTTGTGTTCTCACTAGTTCACAGAGGTGAGGTTTCCAGGTCCTATATTATCTTTACTGTCCAGGTCTATGGGATTATGGTCAGTGCTTCCAATGACCACCAGCTCCAACCTTAACCACTGAAACAAGTGGTAGAAAAATGTCCAGGTCTATGGAATTATGGTCAATGCTTCCAATGACCACCAGCTCCAACCTTAACCACTGAAACAAGTGGTAGAAAAATGTCCAGGTCTATGGAATTATGGTCAATGCTTCCAATGACCACCAGCTCCAACCTTAACCACCAAAACAAGCAGCAGAACATCTTAGTCCTTGCCCAGTCCGTTCCATAGTACCTCCTGGGGTGCCTTACAAAAGAAACCAGAGGCAAAACACGCCCATACACATGGGGACACGGGCATGGATGACTTAGTTGTGTAGCATTAAAGTATTTACAACCCTTCATTACAACCCTTTCCCTCCTTCCCCCTCCCTTTAAAAGCAGGTTTTCTGCCTAGGGGCATGTCATGTTACCCCTTCCTGAAGCCTGGTGGGAATGAGACCCACAGTCCCATCAGCCCTACATGTGGATGCTCCGTGCTTTAGACCCTACCAAAACCCTCAAAAGGAACTATTTGACGGAACGAGCCCCTTGCCCAAGTCAGAAGACCGACCCCTGTGATTTCTTTATCTCCAAGTCACTCAAGAACCAAGCCCACGTGTGTCTAGAAAACAGCCAGCATTTGCAGAGCTAATTGGGTTTGACAATGATTCTTCCCAGCGAAGGCATAAGTTATGATCCTGTCTCTTAAATATTGGCAGTGAGGATGATCTGCTTAGCCGAAATGAAGTCCTTGCTTGCTCATCCTCTTGATCTCCCTGGACAACAGCGAGTCCTTCGGTAACAGATCTGGTCGCTGATAAAAACTAGCATCCTGCCCGTAGCAGGATTTTTGATTCCTTTTTTTTTTTTTTTTTGGCTAAATCACGCAAAGTGAGGTCTCCTGATGAGCCTTGGCATTCCCCCCCGGGGAGAGGGACCGTGGTGGGGTGGCAGTAGCTGCGGTGCTGGGGTGGTGGTGGATGCCAGGATGCAGGACGCCAGCCCCGCATTATTCACAGGCGACTACACGGAGAGCAGGGCTGGTGACAGACACAGGCCGACAGAGACACGGATCTGCTTCCCCCAACGTGAAGCTCACACAAAGGTTTTCTAACACAGACTCTCTGCTCCTCCCCACCATGGCCTTCACCCGCCCATCACCCAGCACGGAGCTCCTGGGGGGAGCTCCTCCAGCGCCCTCCAACTCCTGGAAAAATACGACTAGGAGCAGAGGCAGACCACGACGGGCAGTAGTTCAAATTAATTGGTGTCCGGGGAATTTTTAAGCTACTGATCTGAGGAACTGGGCAGAGCCTCCTACTCAGGGGGGATGGAAACAGCAGGAGGGGCTGCTGGTTTATCTCGTCTGGGCTGAGAAGAGTAGGGGTGGATGAAAACCTTTCTCACTTAGTAAATACAGACTTTAAATCCTAGAATGGTTTGGGTTGGAAGGGACCTTAAAGCCCACCCAGTGCCACCCCCTGCCCTGGGCAGGGACACCTCCCACCACACCAGGTTGCTCCAAGCCCCCTCCAACCTGCCCTTGAACCCCTCCAGGGATGGGGCAGCCACAGCTTCTCTGGCCAACCTGGGCCAGGCTCTCACCACCCTCCCACCAAACAAGTTCTTCCCCACAGCTCAGCTCCATCTCCCCTCTTTCAGGGTCAAACCCTTCCCCCTTTTGCTGTGGCTCCCCTCCTTGATCCAGAGTCCCTCCCCAGCTTTCCTGGAGCCCCCCTTCTTTAGGGACTGGAAGGGTCTGGAAGGTCTCCCCGGAGCCTTCTCTTCTCCAGGCTGAACCCCCCAACTCTCTCAGCCCCCCCTCCCAGCAGAGGGGCTCCAGCCCTCCCAGCATCTCCGTGGCCTCCTCTGGCCCCGCTCCAACAGCTCCATGTCCTTCCCATGCTGAGGACCCCAGAGCTGGACGCAGTGCTCCAGGTGGGGTCTTCCCAGAGTGGAGCAGAGGAGCAGAATCACCTCCCTTGACCTGCTGGCCACGCTCCTTTTGATGCTTGCCAATTTTTCAAATTATTTTCTGTAGCTAGTTTTGATTTTAATGAAGAGTTATGGGGGACAACAGACATTCTACTCTGTGGCTTTTATTTTGGGTGAATCCAGTGCTTGCACTGAGGTTTGGAGCAGCAACGTCTGAGTAACGGGGAGGGAGGAGGGCCAGCAGAGATGTGTGCTGGCACCGCATCTCACGGATCATTTACTGTTACTCAGATAAGTTGCTGAACTTCTGGGAAATGTGTTCTTTGTTGCAGTCAAACCTGAAGAGTTATGGCTGGCACAAAGCATGAGGACCTGCATCCATCCCCTCTGAATTCATGAGTGACTGTGCAGCACTGGGGGACTATCCCAGCTCTGGGGAGGGCAAAGCAGGGGGTCCCGTGGGAAGGAGGCAGCAAAAGCATCACCAGAAAGAGTTCATTTTTTCTGCTTGGTTGGCTCAGGGTTGGGTTTTGGGGCAGAGGGGACTAATGGCCAGAGAGCAGCCCTGAGGAGAAGGACTTGGGGGTGTTGGTGGATGAGAAGCTCAACACGAGCCAGCAGTGCGCACTGGCAGCCCAGAAAGCCAACCCCATCCTGGGCTGCATCAAGAGAAGTGTGGCCAGCAGGTCACAGGAGGTGATTCTGCCCCTCTGCTCTGCGCTCCTGAGACCCCACCTGGAGCACCGTGTCCAGCTCTGGAGTCCTCAGCACAGGAAGGACATGGACCTGTTGGAAGGGGTCCAGCGGAGGGCCAGGAAGATGCTCAGAGGGATGGAGACAGGCTGAGAGAGCTGGGGTTGGTCAGCCTGGAGAAGAGAAGGCTCCGGGGAGACCTTAGAGCAGCCTCCCAATATCTGAAGGAGCTCCAGGAGAGCTGGGGAGGGACTCTTTGTCAGGGAGTGCAGGGACAGGACAAGGGGCGACGGTTTTAAATGGGAAGAGGGGAGATTGAGATTAGATACCAGAAAGAAATTCTTTGCTGTGAGGGTGGTGAGAGCCTGGCCCAGGTTGGCCAGAGAAGCTGTGGCTGCCCCATCCCTGGAGGGGTTCAAGGCCAGGCTGGAGCAACCTGGTGTGGTGGGAGGTGTCCCTGCCCAGGGCAGGGGGTTGGAACTCGATGATCTCTAAGGTCCCTTCCAACTCTAACCATTGTATGATTCTATGAAATGTCGGTTCTGGGGCAACTAAGGGAAAGAAAAGTTAAAGGAAGAAAAAAAAGGGGCGAGAAGAGAATGGGCAGGAGGAGCAGTGTGAAGAGGCAGGAGGATGCAGCTGAGACTTCTCTGGCCCAGCCGTTGGCCATGGTGGTAGGGATGGGAGCAGTGCTGGCACCACGGACTGGCTTCCTCTCCTTTCTCCACTGGGAAGCATCAGCTGGGACTCGGTACGGCTGAAAAAGAGGGCTGAGCAGCTGGAGAGGGAAAGGGGTGAGCTTTGGTCGTCTTCAGAGTTTAAACCACCTCTGGCCTTGCACCATGAAGTTGTTGCCTGACATTTTCACTTCTAAACACTCCGCGTTTCTAAATACTCGGGGCATTAAAGCTCCCCCATCAAGTGACGGGGCTCCTCGCCTCGACGGGGCAGAATTAAGTGGTGCAGAGTGGCTTTGGTGAGCCATTCTCCCTCGGTGACTGGAGCGACGTCCTTCAAAGTGTGAACATAAAAGCGTTACTTCTAAAAAGGGGGCAGAAAAGAGCGTGGAGGAAAAAAAAAAAAAAAAAAAGAAAAACCCACCCCGATTGTTCTGCTGTGAAATCTCCCTGGGAAGGCAGCCACGGCCACTGAAAGCAGCGCTGCGGATGCCAGGGCTGGAGTTCTGCCGTAGGAAGTGCCCACGGATTAATCAATCACAGCAGTTAGCACATTACCTAATATCTGAGCGAGCAAATCCCCACTGACTAGTGCTGTTCCAAAGGCCTCGCTAGGACACTGTGAACTGGTTTATTGTCCTATATGCTTTTAGCAAGCGTTTCTCCTCCTGCTCGCCTCGGCCATCCGATGGCTGGGCTCCCATGGCAGCTTTTTCCATGGCCTTTTGGAAGCCTTCACGCTGCTGCTCACCCCTTTGGGATAGACTTTTCTCCCCTTTGGGACAGACTTTTCTCCTCGCCTGCCGTTGCACTCTACTGCCTAGAGGACACCCGAAGCTCCAGCGAGGTATATTTTTAAGGGAGATGGCTTGAGCCCAGCCGGCGTGCCCCCAGGACACAAGGAACCAGTGGGGTTTGGGTACTGGGGTGAGCTGCCACCAGTTAAAAAGCAGAGAGTGTTAGGAACCCATAGAAGTGAGCAGCGTGTGGAGGCTGGGAAGCCTTTAAAGGCTCAGGCAGGGGTGTGTTAGTCCTCGAGCGAGGCACAAATTGATGGGAAGAGAGAGAAAAATGTGAATCCCCCTGTTTTCTGAATGGCTTGTTATTCTTCCCCACGTCTGGAAGACAAAGGGAACTGCTTTGGGCAGGTTCCTCTCTGCCACAGCAGAGCTGGTTCTCTCCCGGGGCAAAGGAAGAGAAGGGATTTGAGAGGATCCCCCAGGGGCTGGGGCGGAGGGGAGGGGGGTTGGAAAGACAATGCTGTAATCTTCAAAAGCGACTCTGAGCAATTAAAAAGCAATTTCATTCACGGAGTGACTAATGAAACACC